CACAAGTCATTTGAACAGCATTGTATGACACCGTTATTTATTACCTCAACCCCATCAGTCCAGGATGCACCCAACTTGAGTGGCTACATACATGTACATGTGCATGTACGTGTGTGTGTGTACAAAACAAGTTTATAAGGGATTAGCATGTTTTGACATCATCTGGGGATGTGTCAAGGAAAGCTGAGCTTGATGCTGTCACCCACCAGCCAGATACAGTACACGTATATACATGTGCAGTCATAACATGTTTACACGTTCCCTGGTACGAAGCGGTTAAAAGCTGACGTCTACACATTACGCACAAAATGTATAGTGCCTCATTTTATTCCATGTGGTGTACAACTGTTGGCCCTTATCTCATCAAAGACCAAAATTCATGCACACATAAATATTCAACATCAAGCACAGTACTTTCCCTACATGTATGTGAAAATACAAAATCTGAAAATAAACCAGGCTCAGCGACACGGGAACCCCAATTTGGCATCACCGCTTCATTCCTTACCCATTACCGGGGATAACACTACAAATGGTGCTGATGGTACAAAATGCTTCTGGTACCCCTTATTTAGATGTACATGTACATGTACATAAGGGGGACCATAGACATTATATGGCACCTTCTTGAATCCTCCAAAATCCGTTGATGTGTATGCCCAGGAAACCCCTGCAATGAGGATCTCAGGAAACACAAACTTGTAGTGGTATAGTTACAGTTGTACACGTACAATGTATGGTACCGTCAGTACAGTACCCGTCTCTGTCCTTTCTGTAATTCCAACGTAAATTCTCCTTATCATCCCAATGAATTGTTAGGGTAGGCTAGCTTTTTGATCCACTCTGAACATGCCTAGTGTACATATACATGTACGGTACATGTACGTGTACGTGCATGTGAATTCGTAAGAGTACCGGTAGAAGGCATCTACATGTACCAGTACGATACATGTACATACATATGCAGTTATACATGTACTGTACTTGTCAAAGCCTCCAGCTATACTTAGGTGAGCAAATTTGTGGGGGGAAAAAAAGGAGAGAAAAGCAGATTAAATATCAAAGTGCATTTCAGGTTTGTTTCTTTCATTTCCCACAAATGCAGATATTTGTATGCATGGATTTGCAGCCTGGGATTTCTTTCTCAGCCGGTGTCTATTTTCCCTGAAGGCAATGTTCACCTTCCATTCATCCGTGAAAATGGCTTGCAATCAACGGGAAAATATAGCAGGGCCACTTTTGTACACTGCACTGTGTTACGGCCTTGACATTGCATTAAGTACAGGCCACTGCTTTGCACTTCAGTGCAATGTACATACAATGTACATGTACAAAGTGCAAACCTGGGGACAACTTTAACTCGTACTATTTATAGACAAGACTTTTTTCAACGTACTGGCAGAATTAATCAGATATCAGTATTTAATGAACCTTTCACATGATAACATGCACGTGCGTGAACTGTACAAGGTACATGTAGTTACGTACAGTACACACACATGTGATGTACATTTAGGCTTTACCAATAGCTTTCTGCATTGATATGAAATTTCAAAACTGAAGAACTGTAGCCATGCAGTAATGCAAAAATGTACACGTGTAACAGTGCATGCACTGGTACCACACACATAAGTTACAACTACATGTATCAGTACAAGTGATTTCTGCACAATACATGTACACAGTTTGCTCCACCTACATGTACATTGACATGCACTGGTACACAAACATGTACATTTACAGGCAGGAACGGTATGCACATACATGTACGCACACAGAAGATGTACATGTACCGGTATACTGTACACGTACATGTACATGTACTGTATGTACATGTACATGCATGTGGTGGTACTCTGTTCAAGTGAATAATTAATCAGGGTATGCCTTCAATTTATTAAAAAAAAAAAAATGAAGTTTTTTGTTGTTTTGTTTTTACTTTTGTTTGTTAGTCTGTTTGGGACAATTAAGTGATGCATTTATGTACGTGTATGGTATGCACCCGACAGGCCAGAAACAAATACATGTAAATGTACACAATATACATGTACACTGTTGTTTCAACATGTGTGGTGTTCACACAACGGAACAAGTGTATGATACATGTACTTGTATAGGAAGGTGATGGCGGAGGCATGTCTTGCCATTTACCATATAACCACAACCTCAGTTAAAGTCAAAAGTCCAAGTACACACAGTGGTAATTTCTAGCCACTGAAAATTTACCTCTTTTTTGGGAATTAAACTGTACATACACACCATGTCCATAACTCTGAGCAAAAGACGATATCTCTCCAACATGTACAGTATTGCCTTCCTAACGCCCTGCTGCATAAAATGAGTACATGAGTACTCAATCTTGAGTGTACTGCTCAGTATGTACATGTGCAGTACGTTCGTGTGACACCGTTTACAATGCACAGTATGGTATTTCTTGAACTGTAAACAGGTACGAATGGACCGGTACTGTACCTTAATAAGTAGAATTTCAGATTTCACCTCCTTAACATGCTACACAGAGGTTACTCCTTTATTTTAATACAATGCCACTGTCGAAGTACCAAGCTGGCACGTTAAAATTTCAGATTAAGAAAACCACATGCAACTTTGGCACGTTTCGGCAACAACAAATTTACTCCACATCTGCTCAAATGCACACACGAAGCAGCAACTCAAACAGCTACAGTATATGCCCACAACCAAAATGAGGGCAAAGGCAGTGCATATGCATACATGTACATGTACCGCTACGTAACTATACGACTGCCAACATGGCATCTTTGTAGTAGTAGTTATAAAACAGTAAGATGTTAGCATGCTTACATGTACAACTGGTTGTAATTTGAACATGTGCAATGTACCTGCACATATGCAAGTACACTGTGCATGTTTTGACCTTATTAGCCGCATGAATCTGATACAGTACAATGTACATGTACAACCCAGGTTGTGAACAATGAACAGCTTCCTTGTTTTCTGTGCTGCATGAAGTTTCCTGTTCACTTCAGTGTTGTACACATGTACAAGTACAAAGCTGCACACTACAAGTACATGTAGCAATAGATTCACGAATCTACCAGTATATTGTGGTAACCGAGGCAACTTGTAAAACTTAGACCATGGTCTGAAACACAGTAGGCTCAAAAACCAGTAATGAACCAACAGTCAATCTACTGTACAAATGGGAACTGCACAGCAGTTGAAAAAGCTTTCAAAACTTACAACCCCTTAGACAGTGGCGTAGCCAAGGGGAGCCTGGGGGGGCAGTTGGCCTCCCCCCCACTAAAAAAAACGGATGACTGGATATTGAACAAGGATAACTTGTCCGGGGCCCAAAAACACACCACTGAAAGCTGGTGCCCCCCCCATAAGATGCTGATGACCCCTTTGTGCCCCCTCCTCAATGGTAAAATCCTAGCCAAGCCACTGCCCATAGACTTCGAGACCAATTGCCTTAAACATGTGCTACAAATGAGTAGTGGAGTGCAGTTCATTTCCAGTGCATGCTGAAGTGCCTCTGTTATGGTACTTTGTAACACAGGCATGATGTACAGTGTACATGTACATGTGTAGTTTACAAGTACATGTATATGTAACATGTATGTATGTGCCATAAGGAACTAAATGGCAAAATTGTCAGAAGGATGCATAATACAAGTTAACATTCACCTTTACAATACACAATTTCTTAACAGGCTGAACCATGGACTTTTTCAATTTGTTTGGGGAATGAGGACTAGAAGGTGTTTGTCGTTGGTGTTTTTGTGCACCAAGGGATTCACTGATTCAAAAATCTCTTGACTTCAAAGGTGTTTTTTTCCGCCTTGCAGGAATTTAATTCACTGCACCTGTTCTCTTGATGTGTGACTACTACATGCAGGAGACAATGTCCCGGCCACTACAAGTGCTTATCTCTACAGTGTAGTCCATTTCTACCAGTATCTGTTCTTTCAATATTGCCACCATACATGTGTACTACTGAGTAGTCAGTCTTTGAGAAAAAGTTGGATATGTACAGTACTGTGTATGCAACAGTCCAGTCTTTGCTACATGTATCTATCAAACTGAAATGACTTGCTACGTGTGTCTTACTGAAATGACTTGGCTGGCCTCTCTGCTGCTAAGTTTTGCATAGAAGTCCCCTTTCCAAATTGAACTGTGGCCTCAAACTTATTTTGCCTTTCAGGAACCAGCTGCACATTATCTTTCAATTGAATCAATTCCATGCAATCAGTTTTTCAGTGTAGTATCAGTAGTCCTAACCGGGGTGATTTGACTCTGAAAAACACAATCCGGTGATTTTGCAGTCAACATGTGTCTTTAGGTACCTTTGGCCATCGTAGCAGTCAGTGAGACATATGGGAAGCCAGCAATAGATACATGTACCGGTACGATAGGGCAGCATTAGGTATTGACAGACATGGTGGAAGAAAATTGACAGACTGGAGGAAAATTGACGGACATGGTGGAGGAAAATTGACGGATATGGTGGAGGAAAATTGACAGACATGGAGGAGGAAAATTTACAAAGTACAAATAAAAATTCCTTTTTCTGTTAAAAATTTAAATGTACCAAAAGCTGTAACATATTTATTGTTTTCTATGAAATTAATCTCCTTACCAAGAGGTATATGTCTTGATTACGTGGGTGAAAATTTCTGATTGAAAATTTAATGGCAATGCGAAACAATATCTCAATAATACAGCTACATGTAGGCCTACCATGACAATATGGAATTGAGTCATAAGTAGGCCCAATATTGATCAGGATCATGAAAGGCCTAATGTAACATTGTAGGCCTAGGCCTACATCTTACAAGTGCAAATGGCAACTAGTGCTAGCAAACATAAACATACATGTAAATTGGCCAGTGAAATTTCATGCACTCAAAAAATTGTTGCGCAAGTTCCAACTTGTGCTCAAAAATCATAACAATGACGACGAACGTCATGTACCCCACATGAACCAGTACATGAATAGGCAGGGGCAGACATCCAGGACATTTTCAGGGAAGAGTTTCATATGGACGCCAATAATTATTTCCTACAGCATTAGCCATCAGAAAGCAAAACATGTCCAGAAAGTTCAGTTAGTAGGGAAAATATCAAGTCGTTTACTTAGAAAAAAGCATGCTGTGTCGGCACACGTGCCACGGTGATTGATTGATACATTTAAGCACTGCAATGTCCAGTGTTCAGTTTCGATGTTATCACAGCTAACGGATAATGCAGAGCTCAGGAATCAGTCATTGCTGGCTGGTGCACCGTGATGTTGTCTCCATGACATTAACGTACATGTACAGTTTAAATTGCTATTTGAACGAGATGGTAACTGGGAGCAGGACGACAAGAGCATTTTGGATTTGAAGGGGGCATCTCTCTTTTCTTCCAAAATGTGAGTTAACCTTCCCATCATTATTGGAATCTCCAATTCTCACTGAACATGCTTAATCCTAAGGTTAAGCCGGGTGCATTAGACAGTTTCAGGACCATTTTGGAGGTAAATTCAGAGGATTTTGATTTGGGGTACAAGCTATTTTGAGTGAAATGAATTAATGGGATGGAAAGCTTATAGACCTTTGTTCAGTGATGGCATGATCATGCTGGACCTATGATGTGTTGTAATAACAATGTGTGCATAGTGTTGTGATGGTAATCTACCTATTCAAGATAAACTAGTCAAGCATGCAGCATTCGCATGTGTGCTTGCATGTGGTAGAGACTGCCCGTAGGAATACGCGATCACCGTGGCCAAGGCGGTCCACAAGTGGTGATGTTTACATTTAGTCACGTGGGAGGAGAAACCAAGATATTGTGGAGTACCCTAAATTCACGCGTACGAGTATTCGCGTATCCAACTTTCTCGTCATGAAATTCTTGAATGAAATTATGTGCCGATGTTAATTTACTGTTGATAATCGATAGTTACTTAAGCATTTTCTTTCGGCAGCTACGTGCAATTTGGAAGCTTTTCCAGTGAGAATTCGAAAAAAATGTCTGTAGAGCACAGTGTTTTACTTTACAGACTAACTACAAAAATTAACTGGTTGAAACTGTCTACAAAATGGAAACTGTCTACAAAATCTAAAGTGGCATCAGTAGGCCAATATGGAACTCTTTCTGCATCACTACACCAAAGCAATCAATGCATTTTTCATAAGTAGGGCATTAATGATGCCCTATAAAGTGACGTTTGCAAAGTACATGTACGTGCGCCAATTTTGGTGACATACATGAAAGTTTTACTACAGCCGATGCAACTTGTTTGCAGATGATGTTGTTCTGCTGCTTTGGTGACATCCAATGTTCTTCATAATATTATTCCATGTATGATGTAGGATTTTAGTCAAACTTTTAACTAGGCCTACTGAGAATAAAGTTAGAAATGCAGTTTATTTAAGAACAATTTTCGGTCAAAGTAGGCTACATGAAGTAAAGTGCATGAATTATGGTGACTCATGGATAGGACTCAACGTCGCCTGACCATCCATGACCAATGACCATGTCCACATGGCGAATTGTAGAGTCAAAGTTATTACTTATACTTAGGACAAGCATGGTCCTGGGCTTATCCTGACATTCAGTGATCTTATACGCGCATATAACACCATGTACGGGGAAACCCATGTACGTGATCATGTCCGTCATATCCCTGTCCGTGTGCATACGTACGTGTACATCCACATGTACCGTAGATGTACAATGTATGAGTAGTACAACTTCATTTTGCGCCACACATCTGACCAGCTGCAGCGCTACCCGCCTTGGCCATTAGCCAGCACTGCAGTTACGATAAAATTACTCAACATTTTTACAACTTTTGTCATTTTACTTACCTTTATGACAACTGAGAAAAACACTGGAGAATATGGGTAGGGTTTTTCTATCGAATAATGCGCTTTTTCGTCGAAAATTTTGTTCCGTTTGGTCAAAAGGTTGAGAAAATTACCCTAGTTCCAGTTGTACATCTCCCGGCCTCATCATGGAACTTCACACTGCAGTCCTGCTTGTATACCTTTTGTATTCCGTACATCCGGGTGCTAATTGTAATCGGGGTCAAAGGTGAAATGAATGATGGGGTCTGGTGTCCTTAGAAGAGGCCTTGCAAACGTAAGCGTATTAAAGTAGTGGTATCAGACTGAAGTGACTGACTCGATGATAAACATGTTTCTGCGAAGAATTTCATGACAAGACTTGTGGCTTTAGCGACATCCACAAATAGTGAATGTGGAAACTCTACCGTTGAGTAAAGCTCATTGTGCGTATACTAAAATACATACACTATATTTGGTTTATTCCATTGAACAGCTGGAGGGGTGTTGTACATGATTTGCCATCGGCCAGGATGTACATGTATGTATGGCCCAGGTGGCACTGGTAGGAGGAATGGGAGGGGGAGGGACTGTACTAGCAGGCAATTGAATCCTTATTTTAGGGGGTTTGTAGGGGACCCCCAGTTTATTGTCATGTTTAATCTTGTAAAACAGGTCAGTCCTCCAAACCCAAAGGCATTGTCCTCTTTATTGCGCTGACTCTACTTACCATATACAATTCGATTTGAATCAATTCGAATTTCCAAAACATACGTCATGTGTACATGTAGGCCTAGCTACAACTTACACTGATATGTGCCTAGCCTAGTCCAGATAGACTCCTGTATCTTTGCACTTCTGTCAGGAAGTTTAAGAAGTTGAAACTTAATGAGAATAGTGCTACATCCAGCAATGCTGTCTGGGTTTTGGCACAGCTTTCTTGGTTTGGCTAATTATAGATTTTTTCAGCATGCCCTAATTTGAGATATGATAAAAACAAGAATGAATCCATTTCAGTGCGTGAGATTACCTTCTGTGACTCATTGTCAAGGCTTTACAACATTTGTATATCCACTACAGGAATCATGATTTTCTTGTACGTGTATGCATATACTTTGTAGCATTTCATCCCTCGTAATTCATATACTTTACATACATTCTTTACATTGGGCATGATGAGTCACTCTGTACTGTTGGTTGATCTCGATGGGATCATTTGATTGTGCAGCATCTACTGATCATCTTTTAATTTACAGTTGTGGAAGATTATTTGATGTGGAAAAATATATAAAGTCTGAGATTTGCTGCAGGATCAACAGGTAAGTGCGTCACCTTACCATGAACCAGTCATGCAGATCAACCAAATGCACAATCACTTTAAAGATTTGTTGTTCACTTTTCGGTCTCCTTTCCCCCCTTCCAAAAAAAAAAGAACTAGCCAGCAATCCACTGAAGTGCACCGTCTGTTTCCTGGATGCAAAGTTTGGTGAGACGTCTGCTGCAGCAACAGAGAGAACGCAACCATTTTAGCCCAGAGTCACACCTTGGGGACAGCAGCGGCAGAAGTTGGAGTCACACCAGCCAGAGTGCCATGAACCACTTCTCAGCCGAGAAGCTGGAGGAGATTCGGCAGCAGATGGCGCTGCATCGGAAGAACTTGCTGTGCATCTGCAGGCAGGTTGCAGTTTTGTTTGTTTTGTTTTAATGGGTGCGATGATCAAGCACAATGCAAAACATACCATGATGCTGAGGTCAGGGTGCAGTATGAATCTTGATGTCTATCAGGAACTTGAGCTGCTTAGTAATGGAAGCAGTTTGGCAGGCATGTATGTGTGGCCTTGGTTTTTAGCTCTACGTTGTCCACATGCCAAGCATGTGCATTGGGTTTTATCGCTCTCCTGTTTACAGCTCTGTGCTCTACAGCTTTTCTATTTTTTCTTAGAGGCGCAGTATTTAGTTTTTTTTCCCCACAAAGACTTGTTCATAAATTGGACCTTTTGTCACTTAAAACATCGTGACTTTTGTTCAAATATATTATAGCGAAATACAAAGATTTTTCAAAATAAGTTTATGAATAAAGATGCTGCAGTGCAGCATTCTTGTGTAATGATTGTTGACATTGATGTATCATTGCACTCATATCAACCAGTGTAAGATATGTTGCTTGTTAGCAGAGACTTGAAGTGGAAAAAGTTTGAGAGAACATAAGTTAAAAAGCATCAGGTGTTTGTTTCACATACTGTGAGAAAACAAGGTTACTGCTGTAAATCTAAAGTACTTTTCTACTTAATGGATATGACTGTGCAGTTTTGTATCTGACAATTGTAATTGTTTTGTAATTGCCAAGTAAACTTGAGAAAGTGATTTCATTTTTCTTTGACTTACAATGCAGATTAGCAATAAGAAGCCTTGTTGAGAAAGCACATTCAGAAGGTGTGGATGATTCCTGTGATGAGTTTAAGAATCTTGCAACAATATTGGAGCACATCTTGAGTCACAGACTCAAAGGTAAAAATCACAGAATCAGAGGTCAAAATCATAGACTCAGTCACAAGACTCGAAGTTGAAACTCGCAGACTTGGTCACAGATTCAGGGGTCATAATCACAGATTAGGAGGTCAAGGTCACAGACTGGGTCATAGGCCCGGCATATAAATCACAGTATTACACACTGCACAAACTTGGTAATGGACTTTTAAGGTAAACAATGAACTACAGTATGTTTAATGAGAAGACCAGTGGTCCATATAGGGGGGTGCAGAAATACATATGATGTGACTTAGCTTGTAACAGGTAACATGCAACATCACATGCTTCAAGGAGTTTGGATGAATGAGAATGGTTGTAACATTTTGTCTGAGATGCCATTTGTTGGTAAACACCGCTGCATTTACGTGGGTTTTTTGGGTTTTTTTTTTTTTTTTTTTTTTTACAACACTAACTGTTTTAACGTGTTGCTTACACAGGCCAGATTTCCTGGTTTGGGCTGGAGGAGCCCAGGGAATTCTGGGATTTCATCAGCGTGGTGTGTAGTTCGCTCCCCCACAACTGCATTGATAACATTACCAACATGGAGGACGCAAAGAAACCCAAGGCAAAGGTACGACTATGTCTTACCACAGTCCAGATTTTTTTCTATAGTTCTGTAACTATCCAGGTGTGCTCTTACATTGCGTTTACTGGTGACAAATAGCACATGCAAACCCAACCTTACAACTGAGTCGCAAGTCACAAGAGCCACATTTGACCTATTTAAAACAAACCCTGAAACTTTCCACCCTCGTAATGTTAATTTTTCGGGATCAGGATGCCAAAGAAGTACTACACCAAAACAAAGAGCTTAGTTGGGCTTTGCAAATGCAAACTAAAACTTGCTGGGGAAAATGGCCTTGGGGCTCATTTGGTGGTGGGAACCTTTTTTTCATTATCCTAGCAACAATCTTCCTTCAGGGAAACCTGGTCTTGTTCACATGCTTGCTTGTTTTGCCGTGGCAAGTCTTTAGCGTAGTGGTTTGGGCCACGTTTAGTTGTCGCCCTGTCAGTAACTTCTAGTTCCTCCTAGAGTAGGTAGCGATGTGCAAGACACAGTTGGTGATATTCCTGTATGTTTTAATGATTGCCTCAAATCGTCGCTTACAAAAACCACTTCACAATGAATTCTGCATGTATTGCAGCGTGGCATCTATATTCAATCCCAAACTTGAGTGGTTCCCATTAAAGTTGTACCCACAGGGGCTCATATTAGTCAACGGAGGTTGAATGTGTGAGGTACCCTCAAGTGGCCTTGGGCCACAGGCCGGCTTTGTTGGAAATACTTCTCTGCAACATCATCTCAGAGCATGAAAGAAAAGCGACAGTGTAGTAAGAAATGTCGCTCACATCTTAAATGAATGACCACCCAGGGTCAGCACTTAGGAAGTGCCAATTTGTAAAGGGTAGTGGTTGTGGTGTCTTGTCATTTAAAAAGTCGATTTTTTAAATACAAGTAATATCGCGCCAGGAACAAGTGCAATGTGGAAATAATATCATCAACAAGTGGTTGAAGTGCCTCGTACGAGGCAGGAAATTCACCCACATATTTATAAGATCCACATAACCGCATTTCAGTCTAAAGTTTAATTATGTCCCTCCTATTTTTTTTTTGTTGATTTTAATAACAGACGTATACATGTATTATGGATGTCAAAATCTGGCTTTAGAAAACTGATAAGCTAATTTAGAAAATAGGCCAGAAAGTTACTGATGTTTTTTCCTTGTAGAAGTTGTCGTCTAGCTGAAAAGTCCTGACTGTGATAACTTCAAATACGAAATTTCCATGTCTCGTTCATATGGCTTAGCATACCAAAGGTTTAGCTTTTTTGCAAAGCACTAAAGATAAAAATGAAACTCACGTCTGAAATGCGTTGTGAGAGATGTTATGCCAATTATCCAAATAAATTTATTACAGAGGTACATTTATGTGTACATGTATGTGCATTATCTTTGAACCTGTTACTGGAAAGAATATTACTCTGCTGACATCCATGCATGTTCGTAGTGCTTAGTGGATTAAAATTTGTACAAATGCTTTGAGCATTCACAGGAAGGTTTCGTTTGACGGTGCATTTTCTTACTCATAGCAATGTGGGTCCGAGTTACGTTCCTGCTGTCTGGTCCCATTTCCTCCTTGGCGAGGAGGGAGGAAAAAGAAATCAGTGGTATAGGATGCATCACAGTTCAGAAACGTTTGGCCTGTCCGACCTAAAGTCTGCCCAGGGCATAGAGAGTTTAGTCGTGAACTGTTGCCTGCCCAGTATGCGTGAAGCTGTGAGAAGTGACTAAACTAGGGTACCGGATCACCGTGTAGTTCCCTGGAGTCAACACCCCCTCTTTCCCCTCCTCCCCTACCCCTTCTTGCTCCGGAATACGTATCTGCCTGGTCATACATGTATGATCTTAAACTGGGGGATGGGGTAGGGGGTTGGTTGAGGTCAAGAGGAGTTCTGGTGGAACTGGTGAAATGACACTAACCCTCGCGGTGGCCAGAAACTGTGCCTTGAAGAGGGGAGGGAGCTCACAAGATTTTGCCCGATCAGAAACACTGATAGTTCAAGTGACCAGGGGGTATATACAGTCAACTGGTTAGCGATTACTTTAAGCAGAAAAATCCTGCCAAGTGGAACTGCATGCAAAGCGTAATTGTTGGGGACGTGGCGTCATTGAAGCCTCCAAACAGTCCCCGTACAGGTACATTGGCATTTGATGCCCCACCAAAGAGCCTACTTTTCACAATCACATTTGACATATCGCACAGTTAATCATAAATTACAAAAATACAAAATGTAAATAAAATACAGAAATTCCTACATGTACTTCAGTTGCAACTATCAAAAAATGTCTGAACTGCAGTGTCTTTATGCATCAGGACTGTATACTTCCGTCTACACGTATGTTTTTACAATGTTTTTCCTGTTAACGGACATGTACATGTAGCCAGTCCATGGTATGGACCTTTTGTTTGCCATGTCACAGTCATAGTGTTTGGCCAACCAGTCCTTGCCAAAATGTGGCCGGCCGTCGGTACAAAAACAAAAGAAACATTTACAAAGTGTTCAGAAATCTTGCGCAGGTCTTAAAACTCTAAAATATGTACGTTATTCTACTTTGCCTACTGATGAAAAATCTGTCTTTTTAACTCATACGGAACAGGTATCAAAGGCAGGTTCATTCTGGTACTTGTAATGTAATTCAGTCAAACATAGAAGTAAAAGAATTTAATTGTCATAAAACATATTCATAAAACTCGCTTGAGTTGAAATATTTATTTTTGCATACATTCTCATGGATGAATGTATTTTAATTTTGCATTTGTGTTTGCTTTAGTGCCATGTGTGAACGTCCTGAAAACTTTCACTGTCCATATAAAATAGCAGTCAGTGTTTGTGAACAAACGAAAAGGTTTACACTTTCTGTGTCACTCTGCTGTACGTGTTTGTGTAAACCATTTCTGCTTAATACAAATGATGAAACTGTAATGAGAATGTCTACCTGAGATCAAGGAGCAAAGAAATGTTAACGCAAAACACATGCTCATGTTGGAAATGACTTTTACAGCCGTGGTGTTGTTTTGCTTGTGCATGCTTGCATGTATAGACTCTCACTACTTCACTGATACTTAAAACAAACTCTGATGCCATGGTTAGCAAGGTTTGTGCAGTACATGCACATTGTGCCCACTGTTTTGCTCCCAGCCTCCCTAAAATCAACAAAGCTTTCATTACAGATGAATCCAGCGACATTTTACTGGACCTAGCTTATCCTGATAGCCCCCTTTAATGGTGGAGAGTATTACGTTAAGTTCTGTTCTGAGCGACTCACAGGATAGTCTCCACACAATAGTTACCACAACGTAATGTTATCACAAGGACAATGATAATTTTACCATGGCCACCGGCTTTGTCCACAGTAGGAAACGTTTGGGCTAAAAGCAAAGCTGTAAAAATGGTCCATGCAGTAGTGTACATCGTATCTAATTTACATTGAGAGAAATGTGACGAAGCAAGTGAGCAGCACCTTCAAAACCATTGATGGCTTAAAAACCTTGATGGCTGATTCATTTGGAAATATCACTTTCAGTAATTTTAATTTAGGATTAAATTACACGTATTTCAAACTTGGCAGTTTATTCGGAAATGGGAGGATTTAAATTTTTCACTAACAAGGCAGAGACATGGGCAGTGGGGTTATGGTTTCCATATAATTCTTTAAACATTTGTTTTTATTTTTTGTACAGAGATGTTTTTGTTTACTGAGGTCATTTATTTTCTGGTTTTACTCAAATAGGGAAGAGCTTGGATTCGCTCAGCTTTGATGGAAAAGCGCTTAGCAGAGTATATCCAGCACACCCTGAAAAATGAGAAAGCAATGAAGTAAGCTGTAAACAAGGGTGATTATGGAAGGTGCTGACCGTGATTAGTTTGAGAGAGAGAAACAGGAAGTTTCAAAAACTGGTTTATCATTTGGGTAGTTTTCATTCTCTGTGGGTAGATTTTAGTTCAGCTGTCATTTGGGCAGGTGTAGTCTCCCTCATTTTCCAGACCTTAGTTCTAGCTCAGTTCATGACTATCTTTGCCTGTTTGCACAGAGTCAGAATAGACTCGAAAAGCAATGTCTGCAAAGTTGAGCCTTGATGGTTTCCATGGACAAATTTGTGCTCACAGGATTTTTTTATTTGCTAAAAGAATCAAGTTTCTGAACTAAAGACAAGGTGTCGGAATGTTAGTGTAAAGTTTTGCTGATTCAATCCAACAAGATTCCATAGAATCCTAGATAGATAGATTCCATAGTGTCCTGACCAATCGGCTGTAGCCACGGCTATGGCAGGTGGCTATGATCGCAAGCCAGTGGCTTTCATTAGCATGTGTTATTTCAAGCTGCAGCCACAACTTACAGGCATGGCTTCATTTTCACTGCAAGGTTTAGAATCAGAGGTCCTCTGCTAGTGACTTTCATGTTCCCGTTTTTTATGCTTCCTTGCAGAGCATTCTTTGCGGAAGGTGCCTTTATGCGTGCAGAGGAAGCACAGGTGGTTGCTAGGGAGTTGGAGAAGCTGAATACCATTGACTTCAGGTAGGAGTGATCAAAGACAAACCCAAAGAATTCCAGGGACTTCTGAGAGGGAGAGAGCCTTTTTGTCACAAGGACCGAGATCCAGTATGGTTGACACCTTGCTCGCATGCTACCAGTGGTGTTTAACTATCAATACCACAGAAGACAAGCATGGGCCAGGCAAGGCCGTTTGCTTGCGGAGGTCACTTTGAAAAGGGGAAGGAGGGGTCAACACTATCTTTTCATTGCAACACTGTTCAAAGGGGACAGTATCGGACAACAGAGCACACTGCTCATATGGCTGTGTAATTTCTGACATTCGGTGGAACACCAGCAAAAGTCAACGTGTAAAGAGTACACTCATGTAAAAGGGCACATATAGGGATAGAAGGGTAGTAGTTATAAAATATTGGGGGCTGAGTGCCTTATATCTCCCTGGATACTTTACCAGTGACAAAACAGTGTGTTTAATATTGCCCATGTAAGTAAAGCAGTGTAACACTTCCTTAGACTAAGCACAGGATGTTGCTACAGGGAACCAGCAATCAAGGACAGGAAGAATCTTGTGTTCACTTTGTCTGTCCTCAGTGGTCAGGTTAAACAAGTACACTGGCACGGTGTACTGGTTCCCACGTGTTTGACATAGAGAATGCATTTCATATGGACATGGGTCATTCCATGAGGTCAGGGCACAATTTGTGACGGTGTCCCTGTTACATACTGTAGGTAACTTTTACCACCTGTCATGACCTGTAGAGAAGGTCCTTTACTCTGTCAAAATAACACACACCTCTGTATTCAGCCTTGCAAGATGTATAACAATGTCAGTTTGGAATCCACAGGCAGGAAAATAAAGTTCATTTTTACGGAACCCATGTAACAATTGACACCGTCACAAATTGTGCCCGAACCTCATGGAATGACCCACATATGAAACATGTCGTTCCCATGTGCTCAGCACCATTCACATTCAAGGGGATGACCCAGTATCTCTCCTCATAACTTCCGAGGAGGTATTTGTGCACAGGTGCAGTAACAGTCGCTACTGTATACCGTGCACCCAGTCATTGAGATTAAAAGAATCTGGCAGAAATGTAAGTAATGCGGGGCTCAGAACTGATTTTTTAATGCACTGTGCATTGAGGCAATACTGTTGAAAGGCACTAAGTCTGTTTCGTTTTCAAGCTTCTTTAACTCACTCTATTTTTTTCACTTACAGTTCGTGTCTCAAAGGGGAGAAGCTTGAGACTGGTGTTGCCCATGTCATTGACTACGCGTCGTATCTTCAGATTCTCTTGAGGCAGGAAATGAAGTTATTTCTTTTGTATCCTGCGGTGTTTTGTAAATAAATTATGTCATTGCATTTGCTTCAGAAACTGAAATAAAAAAATTGCACTTTTGAAATAAGGGATCATAGTTTTAGGTTTATGTCATGAAAGTTCTTTTCTTGAGCCTGCAGATTGTCGTCACATTTTGAACATGTTTTTTTCTTTACAGAGACAAAGAAACCTCCCCAACTGCTGACCACTCTCAGGGTGCAACATCAGAGAACAACGGGACTGACAGGCCAACGGCAAGCCACAGTCTTAGCCACAGCCAGGCCAGCGGCACAGCCGATGAGAAATACGCAAGACTGCAGGAGCAGTTCCGAGCTGTCAGCGCTCAAAAGGTATCGTCAACACTGCAAGGCAGACTTGCTTGTGAGCATAGTTGCACATTTGGGGGGAAATCAGGTGGTATATTGGGAATCTTTCCGTGTTCAGAACCTTCAATGCCTGGAACATTTTATTGCAGAGCTGTTCAACAGAAAATAAATTAGGGGAATTTAAGTTCTAAGCTGTTGTTGCCCGGAGCTAAGCCTCTTATGTACATTTTGTAAAATTTGGGCTATTCTTTTCTGTTTGCAAAATGTGCTTGTGCTTAACAAATTTCTTGGCTTTATAAGAAGCTATGTTAATTTGGCAAGCCTGATGTCCCGTGGAAAACTTTGGACAGCTTGGGACATCATGCTGATATCATGCATTTTTATAAGTGCATACAAAGTATGAGCTGTGTAAGTTTACACAGCGTTGTGGGAGTTGATTTATCCATACTTATTTAAATCAAATTTGAAGCGATTTTTATTTTGCAACATGAAACGTTGTGTATGTATTTCATCTGGAATCCATGCCTGAACCGATTAGTCGCACAGGGTGAAAACATGACCTCAGTGCAGTGATCTTCTCTAAATGATGTTACGTTCCCTTGCTTGCCTCTGTCGTTTTGCCCCATCTGCCAAAATGTCATCTGCTGAGGTTGAAGATGTTTGTGAATGTTAACCATAGAGCACACTAGTGTACCATTTTCCTCTTAAGATTGTGTTTGCGTCTGCTTGGGTATCTGTCTCATATTGCTGTTCTTCTGAGTTGTTGCGACAAAAATGCTTATGTATTTAGTCTGTCTTCTGCGCTTTCAACTGTAACTCTACTTTTGACCCAATGCCCTGTTTACATTACCTTCAGGAGTATTTAGAAGATACTATGCAACAGAAAGATCACCAGCTCTCCAGTAGCAAAAAAGAATGCAAACACTTACAGCAGGCCTTGAAGCATACGGATCAGATGGCTCGACAAGAACACCAACAACTCCAAAGGACAATCATGCAACTGCAGGCTAAAGTGTAAGTCAGGATCTAGTCAACTATCCTTGCAGGTTCATGACATATGTTTGAATTGTCTCTTTTCCTTTTTTTTTCCCCCTTGTTAATGAGTGAAAAGAAGCACTGCTATACTCCAAGTAGGAACAAGAGAGGGCATATTTTTACCCAGCGCATGCGTTCACCGGATTATGCACTGAGCATGTACAACCAGTCTTTGTGGGAAAGCATGGTCCTCGCTTGTGCAGTGGACTTGAGCACAAGCTCAGTTGAAAAACTTTCCGCGAGCTTGTTGCTTCTCTATTGGTGAGGGGAGCAATTCAACTGGGGGTGGACATGACATTGTTTTGGGCATGTGACAACATACTGTCAACGCCTTGGAAAAGTGGCCATACCATGAGAATAGTGTGTCCAATTTTCATAAAGTTGGTGTCAAAATAACAATGCATCAGTGTACAAAACTCCAGAATGCTCCTTGTGAGAATGCAGCTGGGGAAATGTGTGAGGGGAGGCAGATTTCCCCTCCCCTTCCCATTTTTTTGAGGTTAAGGAAGTTCGATATGTTTTTGTTTTCCTGCAACTCAGAGCCGAGCTCGAGGAAGCCAGGCAGATGGCTCGCGTCAGCCTGGAGAAACACCTGATCAAAGGTCAGTGGAGTCCCCCCATTGTTGGGTCAGAGGGGGCCACGTCCCACTTGGATCTTCTGGACCAGACAGAGACCATCTCACTGGACAATCTCCACCTGGCATTGCTTCCAAATGAATCCAACGAAATGCCTTCTCCAGATGGGTAGGTATCTGGTGAAGCCACTGGACCATAGTATTGAGGGACAGTAATTGTCCTGATGGAAAATTCAAGTACTACCGTCAAATTAGTAGCCCATGGTGCAAGCCTGGGCTAAACATACAAATAGAAACAAAACAACTGCATTCACTGCTAGTAAAATTCTTGGCAGATCCATTGGCAGAAATAAAGTCCTTTAGTTTCCTTCCCAGATCAAAATTTAAAATTATTAAATCACATTTTCCTCACTCTTTCGTATTAGAGAGTACAATTGAAATAAAGCAGAAGTTTTCTCGCCAGTGCCCCACTTTTCTGTGAAGAGAATGACCATCTAGCTTGTAAAGGAAATTAAATTGGAGTCAATGTGCAAGATGTTTTGCTTGGAGATATTTTCCAGAGAGAGTCTGAAACTTTTGGACTTATTCAATTCCAGATTGGATGCTTCATTTCTCGTATCCCTAAGCAACACACGTGCCCCAGCCGGCCCAGTGAGCTTGGATGTGTGAGGGACAGTAACACAGGGATTCATTTGGCATAATCTTTGGTTGCATTTCTAGCTGTTTGGTGTAGTTTTACAAGTGGTGCATATCTAGAGAAGCTCAAATCCTAAATGTTCTTCACATGGAAAGTATGGAAACAGAACGGGAGTTTGAAGTAACGGGAAATCACTTCTCTCGCTGTTAATCTACAGGGAGAGTGTTCAGAGTCTGGACCAATCTTACAGCAGCCGACAGTGCGACAGTCCCAGCCCAACATCTGGCACTTCTAGTGCTTCCCTGTACGTCCGCTCCGACAGTGACAAGAGCGGAGTAACAGGTCAGAGGTCAATTCACAAAGACAAGGAGGAAACGCAGAGTTTGGTTCCCCTGGCTGGGTCGTTCACCTCCCAGGTAGGTTAACTCCCCCCACCCAGACCCACGTGACCTGAGGCCCTCTGTAGGTCACAAAATAGCCCTTTGGTGGGGGACAGCATGATTAATGAGTCTACCTCCCAGTACCACCCCACTTGAGTTACAGCCACTGTGGCCTCCCTGAATTGCCAGCCACATTTCAGGCCTGTTCATACATTCCACAGATGTGACCATGAAGACAATTGTGGCATCAAGAAATGTTTGCAGTTCAATTTGTTGGACTTGAAATGTTTTAAACTTTTGCAAATTCCAAGGAACAAGGACGTTCATTATGGAGTTTGATATCACGAACTGAGGTGGGCAAAATTTGTAAAGTTAAAATGCATTCAATTCGTGTGAATGTGCAAGGCAAATGTTGGTCATTGGACATAAAATTCCCAACAAACTAACATTCATCGCAAGTATGAACCAGCTTCTGGTTTGTACATGTCACGCGTCTGTGCAGCAGTTCTCATCTTGTGTGCTTGCCCCATGTCAGACATTACCATCCGTTCAAAACTGAGCTATTCAGTATAATGTCTGGTATCTAGAGTGCATTTCTTGTCTCACCAGGATCACACTTTCCCATTCAAATTGAACTCCCCAGACTGCCAAACTCGTTTCCTCATGGTCAGGGGCAAATGCAATGTATCAGCAATGTTTAGTTGTGAAGTGGTCTAGTGTCTGCTTTGTTAAGTTTCACCCGTTGTTGCAGTGCGATTGCTGATAACCCTGTCGTACATTACTGGGCAAGAACGTGTGATAAAGCAACAGTACCTGCAGTCTGTTAAGATATTACACAGCATTAAAACGAGTCGGTGTACCAGATGTTAAATCGAGCTCACACAAAGCACATGTCATTAGCAAAATTACATGTTTGCAAAAATTGCAACACATTTCCAAAGTTTTCAGCTTTGCCTTCAATTCTGGCTCTGCTGATTTATGCCCCCAGGATCTTCGAGTTTCTAGCTCTGTAAAAAGTCATGTTTTGTGCGAGAAACATTAAACTGAAGCAAGATGTCAGTCGAGCACTTGGTTGACTGAATCATGCCCCCCCAAAATGGAGGATTGCTTTCACGTCAGACAGTGCTACCCGGTGCTTTCCCATGCTCTGCCCATGAACTCTCAAAATGCATGCACCATGTCCTCACGACGTCTTCTTGTGTCTCTCTTTCCTTTTCCACTTCCTTCTCTGCCCTCCTCATCTTGTCTGGTTAGATGAGCGTTAAGTCGACAGAAACCTCCAGTTCTGGCATGCTCGACTCTGACACCCACACCCCGTACCTCTATGTAAGTTGTTTGTTCCGACCTCCATCTGGCTTTCAGAAATTGTCACAGATCCTCTCTCTTTTCCATTCTTTGTGTGTGGTGTTTTCCAAGGCCCTGTTTTTTGTTCATTTTCAACCATTTGTGACGAAACCTAACAAGCTGAATCCCTTTTTGCCAGAGCTACCTTTGAGTTCAAGGTCTTTTAGAAGTTTCTTGTATAACATAAATCAATAGGCATCCACATTTTTCACCCGCATAATGTCCATTTTCATCGGGACGCAAAAACTGAGGAATCTGTCAAAGCAAACAGCTTGGTTTGCTCTTTCTGACACAAACTAAAAATTATAGTCCGGGTGTGTCTCACCCAATCCACTTTGTGCAGAAATTTTTTCCTCACTTTAAAGGGTTCCCCTAGTGATTTTTCATAGACACACCTGTGGTCATCTTTTTTACTCTACTTCAATGTGTGAAGGCCTCTCGACATCCTTTGTAGATTTAAGTGTATTGAAAATAGAAGTTTTGAATTATTGGAAATCGTCCAAGCTTCTCTTGACTAAGAGCTCCAAATTGACAACGATCATGTCCGTGGCATTTTCCCAGCAGAAAAAAGTATTGTTCTGACTTTGTCTTTCAGTTTCATTGAGCTTCTGATTGGGTCACATTTTGACATGATTTTCAGACAATTCTGATCAGACTGCCATTTCCGTCCTTGTCTTGCTTTTCATCTCCTCAAATCTGATGGTATGCAAGCACCAGTTGAAATGGCACTTCATTTGTATAAAAAAAAAGATGAAGGAATGGAATAAAAGGAATTTTCAAGGTACTTCAATATTGACAAGAATGAAGACCCAAAAGGACTTGGACATGAAATGTGTGGCACATGAGAGTTACCTGCAAATTTCAATTCAGACCAGCTGTTATTTTCACCAAGCCTGTCAGTATTTCCTGTCACAAAGTATCTTTTTTGTTTAACGACCTGTTCTTTGGCCTTGCAGCGGGTTCGACCCATGTCCCCAGGCTCAGCCAGTTCCGACTCCTGTGTATCATCAGACGTCAACCAGCCCCTTGTTGTCTCGTAGCACAATCGGAACCTTTATCCCCACCCCCAGGGCATACGAAAGACAGTCAGGGGTGGAGCAAGGTTACACAAAATAGGACTTGGGAGGGGGACCTTAGCCGGGAATCTGGTGTAGACATGTAAAACTGACCATGCATAAGGCTAGGAGCCATGACATTCTGGTAAGCCATGTCCGAGTCAAATGACTGCAGATGGGGGGTAACACATGTAAGTCTATGTAAAGTAGCCACAGCCTCTACCTAGTAGTTGCATATATGATTTCCAGCCACAGCTACATCGTTCAGACACTGTCCGGGTCATGATAGAATCCTCCTTTGTGGATTTAATGCACGACCCAACGCCCTGTGGTGAAAAGGTGTTGCTCTTAGTGGAGGACATCTGGGCACCATTTGTGCAGTAGAACGGTTCTCACTGGCCTTCCCGTCTGTGCAGAGCTGGAGTCGTTGTTTGAAAACTGGTTAGCCACACCCTGAAAATAAGGGTTTTTACAATTTGCCCAATGTGTATGCTTTTACTTACATTTGCACAATCAAGTAGTTGCCCAATGTCTACGCACACCCATGCTTAAGTGTTACTTTGCGTATACGAGTGCTACAGTTTTGTTCACATTCAATTGAAAACTTGATTGGTCATACTGTGCATGCACAATGTGATGTCTATTTATAAGCTGGCTCTTGTCAGTAAGCTACACTCCATCTTCTTGTTGGGGAACCTATATTTTAACCCTAACCCCCTAGGGTGTATGTAAAATCGTATTGAAATTGGAGGATTTGGGACTGTTAGGGTTAAAAGATACAAACCCCCCCCAATAATTTGTCACTGGTCAGACTTATGTTCCGGAATTGATGCGGCAACGCAGCCTTATTTTTTTTTGCGCCCTCCTCCAGGGTTGAAAATTGTACTGAAATTCAGATAAGCTCTATCCACGTGCAAAATGCAGACACTCGTTGTCGAGTCATGGGACTAGACCATGATTATAAGCCAACAAACAACTTTGTATCCATAGTCTGCTATCATTGTTTAGCATCGATCTCTATTGCCTCGAGTAAAAGATCGAGCTTTGCGGTGTGGCAGTAGAGGGTGCTGTTGCAGCTGTTGCAGAGGAAAAAAAAAGATGAACGCGCAGGCTTGAAATCGACGCACACGCTGACCCCAGATGAAAGACTTTTCGAGGGGCCTGAACATAACAGTCGAACTGTAAATTTTCGTTTTTCTTCCCAATCCTAGTCTTTTTTATGATTATCAAGCTTGAATTATGTGGTTGCTGTAGCGTATGAAAATGTGGAGTAAAGGGCAAGCTTTATTGTTTACACATTAGTTGGAATTACCCATCGGTATATATGACATTATGGATACATGTGCACTATTTTACAATGACCTGATTGACTGCATATGATGGATGATCACGTCTGGGTCAGCAAACTTCTGTTTCAAGAATTGCCAATTGTAAACTTATGTGCAATTTATTTTTATTGTTTATCTTGCACAAGGATTTCTGTAAATGATATTAATGAAATCTTTATATTTGACAATTGGACCTTTTGGTTATAAAGTAAGGTGCAAATAAAATTTCTTTGGTGATGGTCAACACAGAAATCAAAACATCATTCTATAAAAAAATAGGAAATGAGGCATGTCATTTTATTCAGTGAAAAAGCATTTATTGAAGTACTCAAGGACCCCACTAAACACCAAAGCACAGTTGACAATGTACAAACAAAACAGTATTTTTGGTGACGTACATTTCTCCACAAGTCAGCCTTAAAGTTGTAAACTGCAAGCCAATATGAGACACATTAAGGCAAACAAATCAGAGCACTGGATGGAGCTAGATTTCAATATTGCTGCCCTTCACCACCTAGATGTCAAATTTTTTTGCCGACAATAGTACAGCTGTATGTGCCTCACGACCATAGAGCTATATTTAAAAACTAGAGCGCTGACTCATGTACAAAAGTGATGCCTGCTGGGCACATCCATGTTTGTGCACAAACCTATGGAAAACTCACAGAGCTATACATAGCTCTATGGGAAACATTTTGTACGGCTTTTATACGGCTTTTTGCATATCTGCGTCTGTATTCTAAAACAATACGTCAACAACAAATGAACAAGCAGTAAATGAGCATGCGCGTGTTTGCTGCAGATAATTTTGCCGTGACTATTTAAATCGGATTTTAGCGGTACCTGATGCGCGTTGCATTTAGCACACATAATTCAATATCCATTGTCTCTGATTTGGAATGTTCTACAAGCACGCACATGGATTCAAAATAAATGTCTGCGCCCAGGATGGCATTAAATTTTCTCCAAGCGGAGAATGAGAAGTTAGCGCTCTAGTAATTCAATACAGGTCTATTGCTCACAACTCCGAACACTTATTAAGAGTACATATTTACATAGAAGTCTGTTAACCACACTTAGTGTTCACCAGTCTTATGTTATGTTATGGTTAGGTATGTTATGCAGTATTTTACAGGAAAGCTGCGGGCAGGATGACTTCACCGTTTGCTCGCTGACAAGAGTAGTCTCCAATGGAAACACTGTATGTGAATTCTACTTGGCTATGCGATTCAGCAAGTGTTCTTAATGTGAGACTCGATACATTCAATACTGTCTGCTGGTTGAAAAGAACCCTTAACCAGTGAATCAGACGGGCTTGGGTGGTACCTATACACCCCTAGTGCCATGTATCCAGTGCTCACATACTCAGTACATGTCCCTGCATTTGTAAAATTACTTGGACATGCTCCACTGTAGGCACACAAGAACGTGTGCTTGTAGACAGTGTTACTGTGGTCATAAGGGGAGATCTTTGTGGATCGTTGGTCTACGGGGAGCAAATGTACGAGTCATGTTACTCAAATTGGTGCATTCTCATTTTGGGCACACCTTCCCATGATGCCCTACAAGCAGTGAAGTAACCTCTGACCCATCTGTTGCATTTCTATTCGGTTCGTAAGTGACTTTGTCACAAAGACGGACGCGCCACGATTTGCAGGCTCCCATCAGACAATCGCTGAAGTTCATGTTAACTTCCGGTTCCATGTTAACGACGATCAATGCATGTAACTCTATGTGCAGTGCATGTGCAGTAGGCATGGTTTAAACTGAAGTGACGTCACACTTACGAACCGAATACATACATGTATATGTTCCATGTGATATCCAGGGCTCATAATGGAAAATAAACTTGTACTGACAGACTCGCAGGATTAAGCTGTCTGCACCTGTCTTCACACAGTAATTACACATTGTCTGGTACCACCCCTTGAAACATGTTTTTCCAGTCAGTAATGCTTTGAAGAAAAGAAAACAGGAAGTTCTGAAAATACAGAATTACGCATAGTTAAACACAAAAGAGTACCTTGGATTGGCAAGCACATTTGGCAGGTGGCGCACTGTGAAAAATGTAATTTTCGTTCCACTGTTTTTTTTTAGTCTGTAATTGCCACTTTCAGTCCTAGGCTTCTTATAGGTGAAGTCAGATACCTTCAAATCCCAATTGTATGATGTACAATTTGAGTGTGGCCCTGTGATTTGCCCAAAGCAGTTTAGTTTACATAATCTGTATAGGCAAGGTCTGTTTTGCATGCAATTGATGCATATGAATTTACTTTCGTGGTATTTAAATCAATGAAGTGGACAAACTCATGTTGAATCTATCATTTCAATATTAGATGGAATTTTATACGTAAAATGAGTTGTATTTGAATGAAATTTCGAACCCAGTTTGGCATTTTGCTCATCATTCTTGAAATAAATGTGAAAAAAAAAGGTGTGAACAAGTTTTCTTTTCCATTAAAAATTTAAGATGCTTGACAAACGAAAGGTGTTCACAAAAGTAACAGAAAGGAACACGTTAACAAAAGAATTCGTCAGTTTTGATGTGACTGTCTAATAACAGTTGTCTTCATTTCTTCGGAGGGCTTCGCTTGTTGCCGGTGGGTCCTTTGCTGTCACCAGCCTGGATGTCTTTGCTCCCCGCGGGACTAGACCGCCTTCCACCTGGACTGGTCTTACCCTTCCCTGGACTCGCCTTACTGCTGGTTGGGCTAACTTTATTCTCACTTGGGCTAGTGTCATTCACACCTGGGCTTCTTTTTTTGCCATTTGGGCTTGTGCCATTTGGGCTGGCTTTACTCGCCCTGGGGCTCCCACTGCCCTTCCTGGCTTTGTTCCTATTTGGGCTGGGCTTGTTCCCACTTGGGCTACTGGTGCTCGGGCTCACGCTGGCCTTGTTCCCATCCAAGCTGGTTTTGCTATCCCCATTTGGGCTGCCCCTGGCACTTGCCGGACTGTTCTTGCTGGAGGGACTCGACTTCTCTGTAGCCATTTTCCCTTTGGAAGGTTTGCTGCTGGGTGTAGACACCTGCTTGTTGTCGGGTGTGGCTGGCTGTTTATCATCGGGTGTGGCTAGTTTCTCTTGCTCCTCGTGATCCTCAAAACATTCTTCCTCCTGGATAAAGTCCAAAATGTGACTGTTATCCTCCAAACACATGAAGACCCTATGATGGGGATGTTTTTTTGGCTGTCGTTATGACTCCTCTCCAACATCAGAGGCACAGTTTCTGTTCATTATGTTTAGTAATACAAGTAATTAGAAGACACATAGAGACATTCCCTATCAAAATGTGGTGGTCAAGTCAACTTCAAAGAAAACTCAAAGATTACCCCCCAAAGTTGTCAACTAAAGTAATGCCATCAATGCAGTACTTTGGATATGCAGACAAAGATTTCAAGCAGGTGGTTTAGGGGCACTATGATGAAGATGAACTGATGGTCCTATTTGTGACCGTGCTTATTAAGCCTCCACAATAATGGTCAAATATCTTCACCAACATTTTAAAATACCCCGCTCTTTTCTACAGATCTGTTGCACCCAATGTCTCATCTCCCACCACCAATCTCTCATATCATGCTGTGTCAAAAGAGAGTTTACAAATTCTAATTCTGTCTTTAGCTTTGACTGATTCCCCCCTCCCTTAGCCCCCTCCCCCCCAAGTCTCCAATTTCTGGTCAGGACCTGTCTCCAAAAGTGGTGCAATGATGCAGCTTCTTTTTTTTTTTACCCTCACTTTTTTCTGGAAGTAATGTACGTATAACGTGGGATGTCGATTGTGACTGCATGTGCACGTAATGCCAGCTTTCTGTTGGAACATTTTCTGTAAATAAAAACGTGCAACCGGAAGGCAATTTTCCTTGTGATTACTTATGTACTGGTGTCCCATTACAGTATCTAACTGTATGCTGTTGGCTCAAAGAAGATTGAACATGGTAGGCCTGCAGGTAGTTTGGATGTCGCAGATGAAGCCTGGAAAGAAGACAAAGCTGAGCTTTGGAAAACACCTGATGAAACATTTGTGGCTAGAGTCCGTTTCTGTCATTATCACACAGCGAATAGGCCACTGTCGTTGACAACAATTCCTGTAAAGACGTTTGTTTCCAGCCCCATTGCAAAACTCCTTGGGAGCAAATCTATTTGGAAGTCGGGCTTACCGTTGACGAGCCAGTATCGCAGTCTGTGCAGTACCACATGTAACCAAACTTCTTGGGGTATTTCTTGCAGGGTGGGTCCAAGCAGCCCAGATGGTAACACTTCCTACACTGGTCACACCTGAGAAGAAACCAACGCAAAGGGAGGATGCTTATGTGTCCAAACTTATCTCACGGTGGGAGGGAAATGTGGGCCCTGAGAGGGAAATGGTGAATCACGGCAATAACTGGGACTTTGGGAGGAACTGCAGTATTTGAGCTTTAAATCTTAACTTTGAACTTGGAGATTTTTATGTTGCACACTTGATGTAACACAGTGTTTCTAAACCAGGACTGTTCCTGTTTCACATTAACCATTTAAAAAATTCATTACTTCATTTACTGGACGTTTACACCCACATGAATGACTGTCTAATGGCCACTATAGTCTGACAGGTGACATCTATTGATGCCCGAGTATTTCGACCAGGCCTGCCACCTTGTAAAAAGAGCCCAGATTGTGTAGTGTTACTTTTAGTTTCTTTTATTCCCCGAACTGGCACAGTGCACTGCTTTCAGTACAGGCCAGATTGGTGTGCAAGGGTATTGTATCTCTCATCACTGGAGTGCTTTTGTTCTCGGTGGTAATCTGCTTGCGCTGAATGCCACAAATAGTGGTATAATCGTTCAAAACAACGACGGATGTCCTAGGCTATTGACAACTGAAAAAATGTTGGCAATTCCAAGCAGCTCGGTCTTTAGTTCCGAGTACGGTCTTTTGTTACAAGGCCCAGCTCTTTTGTCCCATTTCGGGCACCCAGGCTATGTGTACAAACCCAAGGTACCCAAAACCGGGCTCCCTGGTGCGAAGTGGTTAAGATCTTTTTGTGAGAAGGCCTTAAGTTCTTACAGTGTTCCTAAATGGGGAACACTTAAAGTTAGACAGCAACCATATCCAAGTTAAGTTGGAACAAGAGATGGCATATTTTTACATGGCAAAAAATCCTTTCAAGGGAACAGCTGAGCACGCATAGAGATGTATGCACATTTGGTGTGAGACGCGCTGAA